TTTAACATAACTGTCCAGTGAAGATGTAGACTGTCTAATGTTCTTTTCAGTGCTCACCTGAGGCATAAAGTTGTCTAGTACTCTAACTTTGAGTCCTGTAAATCTGCTCAAGGTGCTGTCCCCGGATCCTTCCAGTGCTGCCCTCTGCTGGCACTAGGACTTAAATACTGATGTCCATATTAAGAGATGTCTTTCTGCGCATGTATGTGTGTACATATGTATATATGTATGTACGTGTCTATATATCTATGTATCCACCTATTTATCTATCTGTCATCCATCATATACCCATATAAGCCACCATGTCCAGTGCTTCCTGTGTATTGACCCATGAATCCCCACAAGAAAACCATGAAGTACATAATATTATCCCCACTTTGCAGAGGAGAGGATAGATAGTTTGGCTACACAGCTTGTCAGTGGCCAAGTCTGCATTTGAAAGTAAATTTGTCTGATGCTAAAGTCAATGTTCTTAATCAGTGTATCTCTAGACATGAAATTGCCAGAGGGTCCACCTGAAAGCCTTTGAGTCAGGCAACAGATGACACCCTTACAAGCTGTTAATAGAATCTCTTGAGCAAAGGCTTATGGAGGGTACAGCAATGAAGCATAGGGGTGTTTCCACAGATTTGGGGCAGGGTTTTTGTGTGTTCCTGGCTTACAGGGAATACACAGTGATTAGGAAGAAGGATGGGTATGTGTGCTGGGAAAAGTGGTGGGGAATTATGGTGGAGGGGAGACTACTCTCTTCAGAGCACAAACACGTGTTGAGCAGAATGTAGCTGAGGAAAGAGTGTGGGTCAGGATCCCAGGACCTTCACTAGCTATGTTAACGGGGGTATGGTCTTCTCAGCCTTCTCATCACTGTATTTCACTGCTTCCTTACTGTCCAAGCCAAATGTGGTTGCCCTGCCCCATCCCGGTAGGGTCTCAACAGGATTTGTGCCAACCCACCAACTCCTCCCCAGGTGCCTCTTAGATGAAGGAAACGAGACAAGGTAGGCGGCTTGCTATGATCTAGATTTTCTTATACAAGCAAAACCAACATCAGAGCGCTGAGGTAAGGGCTTTTTCAAGAAGATTACATGTGGAGAACACTGATCTACTTGAGAATGAAATCAATGTGAGAATCAAGTTCTAGCCTCCCCATGGGAACCCCAGCCCAGGGATCTTCCCTGACTCTAGCGTGGGTAGGTGGTGGATGGTGTGGCCAAGGGGAGCACGCTGCCCTGATATGTTGAATCATAGGACAACTTGGAGGAGAGGACAGGAGATACTAAACCTAGGCATTTACATGTCAAGGGAGTAATTGAGCCTTAATGGTTTTAGTCTACCCTGGGTGATTTCTATAACGGTTTAGTTTAGCTTTAGGTAACCTTATGGATTGCACACTTTCCCCAGGGTGAGTCAGAATTTGTGCTAAAATCTTAGGAAATCGTCTTTTCTTTGCTATCTTCTGATGACCTGTGGGCCTTCCCAGAGGATCACAGCCTTGTAGTTGGAAGACATAGTTACAGCTTTGATACCTTTACCAGCCAGCTGTGTGACCTTGCAGGAGTCACTTAACCTCTCTGTGCCTCTGTTACCCCATTGCTAAGTCACATAGGAACAACTATACCCTACCTCTCTCAGAGGAATATCATAAGGATAAAAATAAGTTATAGAAAGGTTCCAACCCTTGGGTTAAAACACCTTATTATAATGTCTTTTTTTTAGTTGATAATTATAACTTTTCTTGAACAAGATCCAAGAGTCCTCTGAATTCTGCTCCTAGTGAATATTTTAGGCCTATTGTCCAGACCCCCTCAGCATCCTTCACATGCCTCTACTGCAGTGCTAGCATATTGAGTCTATCTGTGTATTTTCTCCCATGTTGGATACCTGTGGTTCATCTTGCTTTTTATACCCATAGCCTACTATGGGGGACCAAGCAAGACATGAAGAATTAGACTGGATTGAGCAAGGTCACAGGATATGTTTATTGAGTGTTTTTGCAAAGGCGCTTCCTGCAAAAAGCCAAAGTGGTGAGAGCAAGCACTTGTAGGGAGAGGTCCCCTGTTAACCGCAGAGTCTGATAAATACCTCTTTATTGTCAGACACCTACCTCTTCTTCTCAGTAGGAGTATTACCATTTCGAGAATCATGATGACACCAACAATGCCCCCTAAGAACAGCCCAGCATACAGTCCCCATTGTCTTGATTCTGAAAAAAAAAAAAGTCAAAGGGCAACCTCAATAGTGCTGTGAGTTTAGAAACATCCTATGCAGAAGTGAGGAGACACAGCCCCACATTTTCTGTCCACATTCTTTCTCAAGGGAGACGCTCATTCTCATGGTTTTAGAGATCAGCTGTAGACTACTGAAGACTGCCAGATCTGTTTTCTTATCCTACTTTTTCTCACTATGTTTGACTCTCATACTCCCAATTTCTCTCAAGATTCTTCTATTCAAATGCTTCATTTTCACTTCACTTTAGACATTTTCCTACACGACTAAAATTAAACTTAACTTTGTTTTTCCTAAGTCCAAACTCTCTGCCCAGTGTCTCTGTTTTTAAGTCCAGTTTGTCCTGTATCCATTTGGGCAGAAAGAACATGGTGGCTTCATGTTCCCCATACTCCCACACCATTCTCATGAGACCCTGGGAGGAGGAAGAATCTACTTTTGCCTTTTGTTAAAATAAACATAGCGGTGCTATTTTCGTCCTTCCATGCAAATAACTGTGTTGAACGCACTAGACCTAAGCTGACAGAAAAGCATATCGTTTTCCTCTGAATCATTCCCATGTTCAGTATTAGCACTAGTGTACCAATCACCCAAGCTAAAGCTCAGAGAGTCCATTTTTTATTGCTTTTTTTCCTTTACCCCCTTCACTGAATCCTTCTGAACCAGAAGCAGCACTTTGGAAAACAGTGATGAGACCTATTGCCCCAGTAAGTGAGACATTTAACTCAACAAGACAGTAAAAGATAACCACAGAGCACTCACAATGGTCCCGGCAATTTTTACTGCATCCTGTTTATTAATGTACTTAATCCTCACAACAATCCTATGAGGTGAGTGCTCTTAATACTCTGATTTTGTGGATAAGGAAGCAGATGCAGAGATCCTCAAGAACTTGAGTTTGGTCTAGGAGTAGAAACAATGCTGAAGACAGACTTCCTGGAAAGTCAAGGAGACTTCTGGGCTTGGGGTAAGTTACATCAGGGTAATGAACAGTGGGGGCCAACCTGAAGCACTAGGGTTCTAAGTAAAGTAATAGCATTCACATTTTAAACAGTATAATACCAGGAGTTTACCTTAATGTGTAAGGGTAACTTATAAGGATGGTTGTGGAATCAGCCTGCTTGTTGTTGAACCTGTGATGGGTTTGCTCGGAAGAAGTTGAAAGGAAGGAATAGGTGGCTTACAAAGGAGCAGAGGGCTTACAGACACAATTCAGATGTTTACAGAGTCGACCAAAGATACAGACTGAAGTCTCAACAAATTGATAAAAGGCATCCCACCATGATCCATGTGGGCCCTCAGCCTGATAGATAACCAGAAGTCGCCTCTTGGGTTTGGAAAGACTTGCTTTTTCTTTCTAGGTCTTTCACACATCAAGTCATCCCAAGGAACCTCACTGAACTGGCTTTGTGAACATCCTGATTATTGATTCTCTTCCTCAAAACAAACGTGTTTTAACCTTGTCAGATGCCAACTTCAGCAGACAGTCATACCACCTGATCAAAAAGCGAAGGGGCAAGCAGAGGGTTGTAATAAGATTCCTGAATTGATATTAAGCTTGAAATGTGAGCATGAAATCCCAAGACTGAAGACTGGAGTTGCCCTCTGAGCAGCGCTACTCTGAATGACCACTCCTGATGGCTTATGGTCACTGAGAACCGTCTACACAGGTGTGTATGTGTGTGTGTGTGTGTCTGAGAGACAGTGAGAGAGACACTGATTATCTGATTATTCAGGGTTTATGATGCCAACACCAGAAACCCATGGAGAAACATTTCAAATCCTAAAATAAAGAAGCAGAGCCAGCAGCCTAAGCACCACATGTTCATCAGCCCAGCTAATGAACTGACCAAGCAAATTGTTATAGTAGCACTTAGTGTTTCCTCTTTTTTTCTTCCTTCATATATTTTGAGATCTTCTAAAACAACGGTTAATTTAAGAACGAACACTGCAACCATTTAAGTCATTTTTAAAGGTAATAGTTCTCTCAAATTTCATTTGAGATGAAAGTAAAATCAACAAGGCGGTGCACCTAAAGCTAGAAAATAGCTAAATAGCTAAACAAACAACAAGCAAACAAAGCTAGAAAATAGCAGATGACATAAATGCATCAGTAACACCGGCCAAATGAGACTTTCTCCTGTTGCTGACAGCTCAGCTGCTCACCCACTCACGTAAACTAAAAATGACGGGGGCATTTTACTGAGGCCCAGAGGACATAATGACACCAGCTCTCTCTTTTCAGGGTCTCAGGAGGATGAAAGCTACCTGCTCCCCTTGTCCTATGACATAAATAACCAGCTTCTGCCAGCCCGGCCAGATCTGAGAGGCAACATGGCCGTGGTCCTGAAATGTATTTCATAAGCCCTGATTTTTCTTTTAGTCTTTGGATACAGAGTAATATGAATCTTATTGGAGGATTTAAGTTACAGGCCTTTTTTTAACCTTAAAGGAACTATAGTACTTTTCTCACCCAACTTGCTAATTTTACGTTGAGGCAACTGAGACTCTGATAAGTGTATGTAAAGTCACAGAAGAAGGGGATAGCCAAGTGGAATGAGATAAGATCTTCAGACTTTACAGTTTGTGTTTCATCCTATAGAGGCGGGGTCCCCACAAGGAAAGCAGCGGAAGGCAGGGGCGCCTGGGAGACCTTGTGAATCAAAAGCTCTCTAAGTGCCAACTCCTCCCTCCACTGTCCTTCATCCAACACCTGCCCATATGCTCTGTCCTCTGCTCTCCCCTCTGCTGCACCATCATCTGTCTGCCGGGCCCTAACTCCCAAGCCAATCTTGCTTCCTCTGTGCAGGTTTTCCTGACCTTCCCAGCTCCCATTCTTCCCTCTCCCTTGGACTCTGAAGCACTTGGTTTATGTCTTGCATCTTAGAATTATCTTTGCTCTGGAGACTATTTTTTCATTGAGGGCATTTGGAGCCAGACAGATGGATTCAAATTCTGGGCCTACCACGTGATAGCTCTGTGACCTCAGATAGGCCGCTCATACCCACTGGGGCTCCAGTTTCCTCATCTGCAAACTGAGCATAAAAATATTTAGTTCACAGAGTTGTTCTGATGAACCAGTGAGGTAATGCAGGGAAAGCACTCAGAGCAATGCCTGGAATCCTGCATGTGGCAAGTAAATTTCCACTTAATTCCCCAACTAGCTGCTAGGTTCTTGGAGGCCAGAGACCACCTCTTTACTTTTTTGCAGCTCTCTTAGAACTTGGAACATAATAGGTCTCCAGTAAATTCTTGCTGATTGATTGGAAGGACAAGGCGATAGGTTTGATCTCAAGTCCAAAGCAGCCCCTTCACTGATGCTCAGGGATGCTTCAGCCCCATCCTGACATTTGTTTATGACTTACTTTCCCTATCTCTCTAGCAGGTCTAAGTATTTCTACACTTGGTACTCATTTTTTTTGGTGCTATTATCCAATTATGAAATATATATATATGGAAACAAAATGTCAGGGTCTCTATGCCCTCTGGAATTGGGGGTAAATATGGACAAAATAATACTTTTACAGCTTGTTGGGGTTAGGCTGCCCATGATTTCTGTCATTTCTGGGCATAACTTGCTTGTGGTCCTTGAAGTCTTCGCTCCTACATCTCTACTTGCTCTAGTCTGGGCTGTCCTGGCATGCAAATTTCACTGCCCTCATCAGTTTCCACACACATTTCAAAACAAACAAAACCCTAGACGAAGAATTTTGTGAGTTTGAATCCACTTCTGTAGATTTGAAAGGTCACCAGGGAGCAGATTCCAACATGAATCAGGCAGCTTTCCACCATCTGACAGACTCAGATCCTCTCTTCTCCTTCCTATATCTGCAAAAGCAACATCTTCTCCCATTATTACACAGAACCATCTGACTTACAGCTGGATTCTTTAGGGGCGGGGGCAGGGAGTCTCACCTTCTGCCCTCTAGCATTTGTTAAAGCCCCATCCTAAACAAACTCTGTTCCCTTCTAAAGAGGAATTCTAGTAGTGGTTTCATTTTATGATATTTTTCCACCTAGTAAGGTCTAGGAGTCTTATTTAGATTGTAAGCTCCTTAAAGGTAGATCCTGTGCCTTCGGCTTCATATGTATCCCTCTGTCCACCTGGTGCAATGTAGGGCAGGGGGCACTCAATATGCAAGTGCTGGAGTAAGTTAAATCAGAGGCCATAGAAAGAAGCTGGGAGAAGAATGTCATGTACCCTTTTGTTAATTATCAGAGTACTTAATATAAAGGTCTCAGAAGGAATGCAGGGTCACCTTCTGTTTTGGCCCAAGGCAAGAGTAGAAGAGAATGAGCAATGACCTACTTGGCATGTGCTTTGTAATAACAAAATCAAACCAGGAAGGAGGTGTGCATCTGTGCTCTCAGCACCATCTGTGTTCCCATTTTAAAACCACCATTTCCTGTGGCAGAAACTCCAGCTCTCCCTCTTTTTGCTCAGTCATATAGTGAGGACCCTCAGGACGGTGATGCTCAGAAATCAGGCCAACATTGTTCTGTGGTCCACAGGTCCCATTCTTCGTCCACAAAGAAACCCTATCTTAACATTCTTAAACAGGGGGTTTAGGAGGTTCTCCCCACTGGAGCCTCTTAGAAGTAGCTGAGCAGGCTGGTTGAGAACTCCAGCGCCATTTATAAAGAGTGTTTTACATGATCTTTCACCTTTTGGTCGTCTGCTCAGTTGGCTGTGGTTTAAATATGATAACTTGGCCTGTAGCCACGCCTCCAAGAGTAATGCTGAAGGGCCTGTTTTGTCTCTGAAAGTCTGCTGCCACAGAAACACAAGAGCTTCTCTTTCTCCTCAAGTCCTTGAACCTTTATTCTTTAAGGGAGATAAAGAAGAAAATGAAAAGAATCTGAGAAACAAATGTAGTTCACCCCAGGAGATACTGAGATGCTAATGTAACGGTCTAAGGGTGCCAGATCTCTTTCCTGCCTTTCATGTGGTTCTGTCAGCAAAGCTGCCTGCATGGA